TTAATTTTTAAATTATTTATTCATTTATTTGGTACAGGGTCTCACTACACAGCTCCAACTCATAGTGATCCTCCTGTCCGCAGCACAGGGGTTACAGGAATATGCCACCACACCTGGTTTCGGCAGTTGGCATAGCACCCAGGGTTGTGGGGCCAGCATGCCATGTGGTATCGAGGATTGAACCTGGATCCTTAAGCTTGCCAGGCAGGCACTTAGACTGCTGAACTATCTCCCCAGCCCTACTGTGAATGTTTAGAGGAATTATGTACTGTTCTTCATACTGTCTGAATCATTTTACATTGCCACCAACCCAGTGAAGTCACAATGCCTCAGTGTGCCCCATTCAGTGTGTGTAAGTAGTGATCTGCACATTGCCTGACAGTGTGTGTAAGTAGTGATCTGCACATTGCTCTTTCATTGCTTCAAAAGAGCAAGGGCAAGTAGTAGACTAAGTGTGGTTCGAGGTGTGATAATTTTCTGCATCACCTCGACTTGGCCATGCGGTGCCCAGATTAAACACTGATTTTGGGTGTGCCAGTGAGAGTATTCCCAGAAGAGATTAGCATTTGAACCTGAGGACTCAGCATGGGCAGTCCTCATTCAGTCTACTGAGGGTCTCAACAGAGCGAAAGGCAGAAGAAGGAGGAATTCGCTTCTTTTCTATCTCACTGTTTGAGCTGGAACAGTACGTTTCTTCCTCTGCTGATCTAGACCAGAACTTATTCCAGCAGCTCCCTTGGTTCTTAGCACTTTGGACTCAGATCTGCATTTCCTGAATCTCCAGATTACAGATGACAGATCATGAGACTTCTCTGATTCCGTGTCTGAGTGGACCAATTCATCACTAAACTATCCATATAGCTATTTGTCTATTCTTCCATCAATCTATTAAGACTTATTGTCTTGTTTCTCTGGTGAGTGCTCACTAATGTATCACGTAGACAGGGACCATGAGCAAGTTGAGGCTTGGACTAAAATAATGCCTCCGGGAATGGAAACGAGATGGACATAGGATATTGCTAGAATCAAGTGTACAGAGGAACATGGAGAAAACAGAAGCCTCATGCACTGGGAATGAAAATATAAAATTGTTCCTCCGCCTTGGAAAACAGTCCAGCTGCTCTGGAAAAATTAAACATAGTTACCACACGACTCAGCAGTTTCACTCCTAGCAATGTAGCTAAGAGGAAATAAAAACATGTACCTGCATATAAATATTTATAGGGGCCTTATTTGTAATAAGGAAAAGGTTTAAAAAATAGGAAAAAGGTATAAACAATCCAAATGTCCATGAATTGATGAATGGACAAACAAAAGGTTGTATGACCTTAAATGAAATATTATTCAGCCAGAATTAAGCGTGAAGTAACAATGCATGCTAAAGCATGGGTGAACCGAGAAGATGTCATGCCAAGTTAAAGAAGCCAGTCACAAGACCCCACACACTTCACTATTTCATTGATGTGAAACGTCCAGATGGCAGAAATCTCCAGAGACAGAAAGTAGCTTAGTGGTTACTGCAGGTTGGAGGTAGCCTGGGATGACACAGGGATAAAAGAACGATAAGCAAAGGGCATGGGGTTTCTTTTTGAGATGAAAATTTTATAAAACTGGTGATGATGATTGTGTATATTCGTCCATATAATAAAAACAAAGAAACTGCATATTTTAAAAGGCAGATGGAGAACCAGGCACAGTGGTGCATATTTTAACCCCAACCGCTTTTTTTAAAAAAAATAATTTTATTGAGAAACAAATAGCAATGAGACTCTTTCTTTCTTTCTTTCTTTCTTTCTTTCTTTCTTTCTTTCTTTTGGCGGAACTGGGGATTGAACTCAGGCCCTTGTGCTTGCCAGGGAAGTGCTTATTCCACTGAGCCATCTCCTCGGCCCCGACAGTTTCAAAACCGATTAGTAGCACAGTTTCAATAATTAATACATTGCATATTGTTATCTTAGTGGTTATTCATTGTACAAGATGCAGACATGATATCCTGTCCACAAACACTATTAGAACAAGTCTTTCTATTCATTGAATTAAGAGAACACAGCTGTATATCTATCCTATTTTTAATGTACAGATAAAAATACTCATTCTTTTGTATCTCCCTTTTTTGTTTAGTTTTGTCAGAGAAGGATATTCCATTGTCATTTAAATATTGTAGGTGCATGAATTCAGCAAAATATTTCAATATAGTCCAGTAGTCCATAACAGTAGTGGGTTTTGAGGCTGAGGCAGAAGGATCATGAGTTTGAGGCCAGTCTGGGCAACTTAGACTCTCTTTCAAAATTAAAAAGAAAATTAAGGGGTTGAGAATATGGCTCAGTAGTAGAGCACTTGCCTAACCTATGGGTTCATTCCCAGGACTCCAAAAGGAAAACAATGTGATTATACGGTGTATGAATTATATTTTAATAAAGTTGCTTAAAGGCTTGGGGTAGTTCAGTGAGTCAGTGGTTGAGGTTAGTTCCCAAGGGACAGGTGGGAAAGGAGTTGGGGAGAGGATAGGAGACTGAGAAGAGTGGAGAGAGGAGAGATTATAAAATGCACTTTGGACTTCATGAGTGACTAGTTTTGGTGTCTGGAGAGAGGAAGCAGATAAAGAGAATGCCAAGTTGTTTCATTAGGATAGGGAGAATGCAATGGTGACCTCCACCGACAGAAATCGGACAATGTGGAAACGGGAGGAAATAAAAATGCAGCCTGGAATAAGAAATCTAATATCAAGGAAAAATATAAAGGCACTCTAAATTATTTCTAGATTGATTTGATTTAATTCTAGTTTCTTTCCCATAAGCTTCCAGAAAATGTCCTGTTCACATATTTCATATCTCATGGATCTATATTTATTCATAGTCCTGGATCAAAAACTGAATCAATCTCCGAATGATAGAAAAGCTAGTTATCCTTCTGCTTTTGTGCTGCCCTTTTTCCTTTTAACAGAAGAACCACTGTGCACTCATGTTTGCTGGGAAAAATGCCTTCTTCCCAGTTCTCTGTTGGATAGATGTGTCCATCAGCTCAATGTGTCTAGGTACTAAGTTCGGGCAAAGGAGAAGGAAAGGAGAAGAATATGTACAACTTCCAGGTCATTTTCTTTTTTTAAATTTTATTTATTTGTGTGTGTGTGTGTGTGTGTGTGTGTGTGTGGCCAGCTCAGCCCAGCAGGGGGTGGCGCTGGCTGGCATGTGGTGCTGGGGGATTGAACCACAGTCCCTGTGCTTTGCTAAGCTTGTTCTAAGTAGGTGCTTTAGACCACTGAGCCATCTCACCAGCCTAGGTCATTTTCTTAAAGGTAGAACTGCTCGTAGTGAACTCTACCTTTGTTCTTGCTGCAGAACATGGAGCATGGAGCTGAGCCAGCCTCAAACATGGAACCACTAGATGGTGGTTCAGATTATAACAAGCAATTGTGTTCCTTAATGGCAGGTAGAACAGAGCTACCTAGGTCATCCTGTGTATCTGAGTACTATTTTATTAAAATCACAAGTAAATTTCCATCTTATTTAAACCACTACTTTTGGATCTCTTTGTTAGCAAAGCTTAGCCTCTTACCAAATCAATACACCAGGAAAAAGTGAGTTGATAAATTAATCCAATCAGGACTCACCTCTGGGGGATAAGATCCATCTCCCCAGGAAGCACATGGGCTTTACAGAAGATAGGGAATATCTGAGTGGAAAATCCCCTGGATTTTCGAAAAGGAAGAGGGAAAGGCCTTTGAGCAACCAAAAGCAGAAAATATCCACTACCCCATAGAGTAGGGCTTCTCAGCTTGAGCACTGTTGTCTTTTGGGAATGTGTAGCTCTTTATCCAGCACATTGTAGTATGTTAGCAGCATTCCTCATCTCCACCCATTATACCTCCCCACCATGAGAACTAAAAATGTCTCCAGACATTACCAGATATCCCTGGGGTAGTGGGCTTTCCTGGGTTAAGAAACACTGCTGGAGAAAGAGCCATGCCTGTTCAATCCCTGGCACTGCACGCCACACCAGCCCTGCTCTTGGATAGAATCCAGGTATGGTGGCCCATGCCTGTAATCCCAGCACTGGGGAGGCAGCAAACAGGAGGATCACTATGAGTTGGAGCTGCATAGTGAGACCCTACCCACACACACACAGAGAGAGCAGTGACTTTTGTGCTAAAGACTGCTAGTCTTTTTCTCTAATGACTTTGATTTAATTTGGTAAAAAAAAAAAATGCCATGCTAGGAAATAAGGACTTCATTTTAAATGCTCACAGAATAAAATTTAAGCTCTTGAGCAAGGCTTCCAAAACCTTACACACACACACACACACACACACACACACACACACACACACCAATTACAGTCACAGTCCATTGTTTTGCTGATGTAACAGAATACCACAGAAGCCTGGGAAATTCATAATGGACAGAGATTTATTTTGCTTATGGTTCTAGAGGCTGGTGAATCTGAGAGCAAAGGGTTACATCTTGCCGAAGACCTGGTAATTGAGTCACAGCACAGTAGAAGCATCACATGGTGAAAATACAAGGAAAAAAATACTCGATTTTATAACAAATGCACTGTCATGTCAATGAACCCATCCAGAGATGAGCAATATTAATCCATTAGGGCACTGGTATCCTAATCTCTCTTTAAAAAATATTTATTTATTTATTTATTTGGTACAAGATTTGCTACACAGCTCAGACTTGTAGTGATCCTCCTGTCTCAGCCTCCCCAGTGCTGAGATTGATAGGCAAGTGTACCACTATGCCCAGTTTTAGGGGCTGGCAAGGCACAGCAAGGGTTCTGGGACCAGCATGGCATGTGGTACCAGGGATCAAACCTGGGTCCTTATACTGGCCAAGTAGACGCTTAGACCACTGAGCTATCTCCCCAGTCCCCTAATCTCTTAAAAGTCCCAATTTCTCAATCCTATTGCACTACAGATTAAATTTCCAACATACGGACTTTTGGGGAATACATTCAAACCATAGCAACTGTATTACCCGTCTCGTCCACAACCCTATCCCTACATAGCCATTCTCTAGCAATACAAAATTTCTCAGGGCTGGTGAGATAGCTCAGTGGACTAAGTGCCTGCTTAGATAAGTGCAGGGACCAGAGTTCGATCCCTGGCCCTACACCCCACACCGTCCCTGTCTCCGGTGTGCTGAGCACACCTGTAATCCCAGTGCTGGGGAGGTTGCAAACAGGAGGATCACTACAAGTCTGATCTGCATAGTGAGACCCTGTACCAAATACATTTTAAAAAAAGAAAAAAAAAAAAAAAAAACAAGTCTGCATCTTGTACAGCAATTAACCACTGGGAAGAATGTATGCAGTGTGTTATTTGTTGAAACTGTACTTTCGATTTGATTTGAAACTGTCTCATTGCTATATGTTTATCAATAAAACTTTGAAAAGAAAGAAAAAAAGAAAAAAAATACTGAATTTCTCATTGTCTTCCAAGTTTGTATGCTTTTTAGCTTGTATAGTTTTTTAGTGTTCTTTCTGCCAAAAACACAGTTCTCCATTTCTGTCCTAGCAAAACTCCTATAGACCCTTTCAGAGTCAACTCAAACATAATCTCCTTTATTTACAAAAGAAGTAATGGTCCTTAAATTTTCTGAGAAAACTGTTTTTCCTAACTGCTTTGTCTATAGAGTGATGCTTGGCACAATTTACTGTAATTACTTGCAAGAAAGAATTGGTAGGTAGTAATTGCTTTTTAAAAAATGTTTATTTGTGTGTGTGTGTGTGTGTGTGTGTGTGTGTGGCCAGCTCAGCCCACCAGGGGGCGGGGCTGGCTGGCATGTGGTGCTGGGGGCTTGAACGCGGTCCCTGTGCTTTGCTTAGCTTGTTCTAGGTAGGTGCTTTAGACCACTGAGCCATCTCACCAGCCCCTAGTAATTGCTTTTGAATCCCTAGTCCCTAACAAAGTGCCGGACACAGAGAAGTTGCTTCATAAATGCTTACTGTATGGATAAGTGAAATGAAGAAACTGTTAGAGTAGCACCTTCAGGCTTCACCAACAAAAATTGTAGCTTGGCCAGAGAGGATGTATTAGATTGGCTTTGCAGGAGGTGTCTCTGTCTCTGAGCTGGGAAGCAGGTGGCAGGCTAACCTCAGGACACCAAACAATATTTGCAGCACTGCACTTTGGTAGTCCTTGGATAGCTGGGCATGAAGAGTTTAAGCAGTAATTTGCAGCTGCCTCTGCCAGGCAGATATTGAACGGCATCACACATTATGGTTTGTTTTTCGTGAGCTTCTGTCCTTGCTATGGTTTATATCCTAGAGCACGGACTTATTCTTTTCAAACAAATCTACTTTCCTGTCTTTATAGAATCCTAGTTAAAAGAGTTTAAAATGTGTTTTGGAGACAACAGGTATATTTAACATATGAGCCACCTGAGCCCTATGTGAGTATCTGAAACAGAATTCTGATATCCAGACAACACAAAAGTTAGAAAAGTACGTCCATTTGCCATATATACAAGACTCATTTTCTTCTGACTGGGTCATATGGCTCTCTCCACTTTAGAGTATATAATCAGGATATTCCCATGGCATAGGCCCTGGGAACAGTCTCCAAGTTGTCTTTGCTGTTTCTCACTACTATCTTTGAAGATTGCTGGCAGAATTATCTTCCTGGTGATTCCAATATGCCATGCTTGTGAAAGCCAATTGCTAGGATTTGGATAAACCCCTCCCCCCAGAGGCCACATTTTATTTTGTTTATTTATTTATTTAATGCATTGGATACAAGGTCTACAGGGCCTCACTACATAGATCAGACTTGTAGTGATCCTCCTGTTTTCAGCCTCCCAAACATTAGGATTACAGGAGCATGTTACCACGCCCAGTCTCAATCAGCACAGCATGCCGGGGTTGGGGGCTGGGTTTCCTGACAGTGGAGCTAGCAGGAGGTGGTGGACTATTAAGAGGTGGGGCATGGTGAGAGGTTTCCTGCTCATTTGGAGAGTATGTTGGGACCCCGCCCCTTCCCATCTTTCTTACTTCCAGCAATACAGGGAGGGTTTCTTCCTCCATGGACACCCCCCATGATGTGCTACCTCACCGCAGGCCCCAAAGCAACACAGCCAACTGGCCTTGGGCTGAAATCTCCCAAGCTCTAAGCCAAAATAAACTTTTTCTCACCTTTAGTTGATTACCTTAGGTATTTGTTACAATGACAGAAAGCTGACCAGTAAACTCATCTGTCTAGGCTAACACAAACCCTGCGGGACACCTAGAAATAATCAGAATGACACAAATGAAACAGAATCTCTACTGAGCTCTTTGTTAGGATCCAAACTTAGTCAGGGGGCCAGGGAGAGAGTCAGTAGAATAAGCAAGCTCTTGCCTGGCAAGCACAAGGGCCTGAGTTCAATCCCCGGTTCTGTAAAAAAAAAAAAAAAAAAAAAAAAAAACTTAGAAAGATATCCACTTTGTAATAAGGCTAAATCATACAGAATCTCAAAGTGAGAAAAAAAGAGAAAGGGAAAAGGGAGTACATAGAGTTAGGGAGGTGAAGGAGGTCTCAGGGTCCCTATCATGACTTTCCCGACCTGGTCCACTGGATCTCAGCTCTGTCTCCACACTAGGTCCAGTGTGATTCTTTGGCTCAAATTAAATCAGAACCACAGATAGTTAGCCCCTCTCCAATAACCAAGAACATATTGGGAGTCTGAACAGTTGTCTATTTCATAAACGGAGAGCCCTGCTCTAAGTTGGGTAAGCAGAGCCTTATCATAGCCCCGCCATGAATCTCTGGAGTCACGGAGGGGTTGTTTCCCTTTCTGTCCCCCTCTAGACTCTACACCCCAAATAGGACAGTGTTATGAGAAAACAGGGGAGGGATAGTGGACAAGAAAAAATGAAAAGCAATTATAGTACTATAGTTGGTATAATTGTGACTAGGGCTTAAGGTTCACATATTGAATCTGAACAATTACTAGCTGCTTGAAGCTTATTTTAGATCAGAACCTGGGTGGGGTTGAGCTTGAACTTATAAGCAGACAATCCTGGGAAACTCACAATTCAGTGCAGGTGGCAGAAAAAGATGAGGGTCTATTTTCTCAGCTTTGAACAAAGGGGATAAAATTCAGGAGAAAAATCCCCAATTTTTTCCACATGGACATTGATATCTTCTAACATTGGGAATTTGAAGGTAAATGTATATGTATAAGCCTCGCCCTTTCCTAAAATGTTTCAGCTGTGTTATACAATGCATACCCAATTGAACTAAGATGTGATTCATGCTTTATGTGCAATTCTGTCTCTCGTTCATTAAATGCGTGATATTTGTCAGAGTTATTATGAGGTTAAGGTTTAAGAGAAGAAAGTAAAATCTGTGCTGGCTCCTTGCTACTCTATCAGGGGCAAAGCAACAGAGGGAATAAAGTCTCGTGTTTACAGGCTGCCTGGGAAAGGACTGTGTGAAGCAGAGAAGTTGCTGCTGCTCCGTGGAGAAAAGTTTTGCCTAAAGAGTTTTTTGTGTGTTTCTTTGTTTTTTCCTACAGAGGTGTTTTTTTTTTTTTTTTAGAATTGACTCTCCTCTGAATTCTAATTATTTATTTATTTATTTATGTGTGTGTGTGTGTGTGTGTGTGTGTGGCCAGCTCAGCCCACCTGGGGCGGGGCTGGCTGGTTGAACCGCAGTCCCTGTGCTTTGCTAAGCTTGTTCTAAGTAGGTGCTTTAGACCACTGA